AACCCCAAGAATCCTTTGTTCAGGGCTCAGAATTTGGAGACTGACTCCTCTAGGCCCGTACACGTTAATAAAACCTCGTACTCCAGAAACCCTCGGTGTCTGGTTGCTTCATTTTTCTGCAACAGTTTCATAGAGGTGTTAAATAGCTGTGGCCAAGCTCTGAACCAGGGAGAAGGGAGTGGCTTCTACCCAGGATGTAACTGGGGGCTGGTCCCCTGAGTTACAGTGCCTGCATGAGAGCTTGGAGTTGATTGGCTCCACACCATTGGGCCACACTTGCCCAGAAGGCACTATGGCAGCCCAGTAAAGCTGGGAGGGTATGGGAGTCCTGGCAGGTATAACTGATTATAGGAGGAGTTAGAAATGGGGCTGCAAAGGAGGACTGGCACAGGGATTTAAATGCAGATGCGGCAGCCATTGAGGAGAGCCATGTGGTTTTGGGCAGTTAGGACTCCCTCTTGCCCAGGTGAAAGAGAACCACACGCTTTGCCAGAATGGTGATCCCTATAGCCAGGTGAAGAAGAAAGCCACACACTTTTGGTCAGAGTGCTGACCCCTGCATCTTTGGTAGAAGAGGCCCACATGGCTGTGGGGTACTACCTTTGGCCACATGGCCTGGGAAGCAGGAGAGACTTTGCCTGGAAAAATGGGTACAAAGAACCCTTGCCAATGGATGGTGAGAATGTGCCACATGACTTTGGATTAACTGGAGATCCTGCCTGGATGGTGACACACCTGACAGTGCCAGTGACCTGAAACATAGACATGTGCTTCTTTTCCTGAGATACGGTACCCCGAATTAGGACAGGGGGAGAAGGAAGTGCTGTGGGCATCTGTGGTTATCTAAAGTACTTTGATATTTTTATGGGGACATCGGGTCACTACTTAAAGTCTGTACAGCTTTAAATAAACCTTTCCTTTCCTTTTCACAAATCTCTGGCATTGAGAGATATCTTTCCAACTGGCAGCGGACAGACAAGCTCAGTAGGTATTAGTATACCATCCTTGGGAGGGGCCCCTGTTGTTCTGTGGCAGTTTTTGGTGTCCCTCAATGGGCCAAATATTGCACCCCCTGAGACCCCTGTTCAGTAACAAGAATGTTGAATCCAGTTTGCTGCTCATGGTGTTTCTTATATCCTTACTGATTTTTTTGAGGTGGTCTCTTGTTTCTGAAAGTGGAAAGCTATGTTCCTTTTGCGAGAGGTCTGTTAAATCTATTGCAATTATAAATTTTTGTTTGTGTCTCTGTTGTATATAATTTAAGTTAATGACATTATTTATGAATTTGGATCTTCCTGGTAAATTAAACTCATTGATATGAAGTGGTCTTCATCTCTAGTCATGCTTGTTACCTTGAAGTCCACTGCATGTTATTATGTAATTTTCATGTGGTTTATGTTTGCATAATAGAAGGTGGGGGCAGAAGTAGGTTTAGAGTTGTGAGGACAAGAAACAAAGTTTATTGTTGTGTTATTATTTAATAATTATGACATTATTTTCCATGTGAACAACTGTAAAGCTGCTTTTGCACTATCCTGTGTATCTTCTCCCATTCTTTCCCTCTCAATGTTTTTAACCATGTTTTAAATCATTCATATTTTCTCCCAGTTTGTGTCTTGTCCTTTTATTCACTGAACTTTTTCAGAGTATTGTTCAATTTTTAAAGTATATATTTTTAATGTATATCTTCATTACACTGCATGTCCACAAGTATCCCTGATTCCTCAGTGGTTTTGTTTAAATGGACCAGGAAAAAAATCAAACTTACAGATGAGGACAAGGTCAAAGGTCAGAGTCAGAAGTGGGCTGGAGGTTAGAGGAGGCCAAGCCACAGATGTGGGTGGGCCTGGTTGGGAGGCAAATTTAGGCTGGTAGGCTTGAGGGGTGGGCAGTTCTGGTGGAGAGAGGAACAACTACACATACTGGAGGTTAGGCGCTCCCAGCTGCCGGTATCTGTGGTCACGAGGTGATGCTCACAGTCTAATGCGATAGAAGCAATGCAGTCCAAGGGCACGAGATGAGCTGCATGGGGGCTATGAGGTCACAGGGCTGTGGGGGGCACCAAAGGGGGCTAGGACTGTTTCTGGGATATGTGTCTCAGGTACAATTTAGCTGACTACTTCCTGTCAGACCACTTTTCTTTATATATCTAGATTACATTTCAGTTATAGATATCTTTGGTAAATAGATATATAAAGATAGCCATTTTTAAATTCCCAAATAAGATGATATTTTTCATTTGTTAAAGTTTTTGTTATTGCATAGAAATTTCCAATTTTGTTCATATAGATCCTGTACATTGTTAAGTTTATTTCTAGGTTTTGTTTTCTTGTTTTGTTGTTATTGAGTCTTTTAAAAAATTGTATATTTAACTTACCATTTCTGTTACCGAGAAGAGATCCAAGGGGGGGCAATATTTGGCCCACCCAGGGATGCCAAAAAAACTGTTACAGAACAGATACACTGGGGCCCCAGACTCCAGAGGATGGTATACGAATATCGTCCGGACCCTATTATCAGCCCTATTGGGCTGATTGTCCATCGCCAATTGGAAAGACATCTCTCAATTCCAGAGATTTGTAAAAAAAAAGAAATGTTTATTTAATGCTCTTCAGACCTAACATCTTCATCAAAATATCAAAGTCCTCTAAGATATCTACCTACACACACAGCTCTCCCTTCTCCCACTGTCCCAACTCCAGGTACCGTAAATCAGGAAAAGAGCCTACGTTCGTTTTTCCTGGCTGCTGGTGTTGTAGATGATCGGCGGGTAAATACACACTCTTGGAGTCCGGAACCGAATCGACAAAAATTTTAATGGCGAAAGATTTTCCTGCGCAGGGGCGAACCTCCCCAACTGTGATCACAGTCACACAGCCACCCAGAGCTACAAAATGGAAGTCGCGCCTGGCTTACAGACTACTGGGTATTTATATTTTCTAGCAAGCAAGCAAAGGCATACAGAAGCAGAGGTGGCGGTTAGCTATTGGCTTATTTAAAAACGGCGAGGGTCCCTGATTGGTGGGTGCTGCTGCTGCTGGCGGGCACTTTCTGGCGGGCCCGGGTTAGTTACCTTATTTGGCTAGAATTTTAAACCCAATTGTTCCCGGATGTTTGTTCATTACCCTGTTCCAGGAACTGCAGATTTAGGGTTGGGTAATGCCCTAGCTGTAATTTTCATAGCTGGGTATAACATTGGGACCATCAGCTGTGTCCAGTCAGGATCTCCACTTAATCCAAAGTCACATGGCACTCTTGTCCATTGGCAAGAGTTCTTTGTACCCATTTTTCCAGGCAAAGTCTCTCCTGCTTCCCAGGCCACATGGCCAAAGGGAGCACACCAAAACTGTGTGGGCCTCTTCTACCAAAGCTGCAGGGGCCTGCACTTCACCAAAAGCATGTGGCTCTCTTTTTCGCCTGGCTGCAGGGGTCCCCACTCTGGCAAAACCACGTGGCTCTCTTTTCAGTGGCTGCAAGGGTCCCCGTTCTGGAAAAGCCGAGTGGTACTTCTTCACATGGCTGCAGGGGTCCCCACTCTGACAAAACTGTGTGGCTCTCCAATGGCTGCCATGTCTGGGTTTAAATCCCTGCACCAATCTTCCTCTGTACCCCTATTTCTGACTCCTCCCATGATCAGTTACACCTGCCACTATTTCTGTATTATTACAAGTTTACTGGGCTGCCATTGTTAGTCTGTGCAGGTATGGCCCCATGTCATGGAACCAATCTTCTCCAAGCTCCCACATAGGTGCTGTAACTTGGGGGACCTGCCCCCCAGTTACATCTTTGGTGGAAGTCGCTTCCATCCCCCTGGCTCAGAGCATGGCCACAGCTATTTAACATGTCTATGAAACCAGTTAAAGGTTATAGATATGTTAAATGACCATTCCAGAGTTTAACTGCGAAACTATTGCTATGCAAAACAGCTCTCAATGGCCCTGCTCCATTTGTCCCTTCCCCAATTGACACCTGGGTGGGGGGGGGTGGTGAGGACATCTTAATATTTCCTGGATACCCTGAGCTCTGGACCCCATCCCAAATTCTTTTCTGGGGCCCCCCTCTTGGCTGTGCTCTGTTACATTTCTACATATTTATTTCTGCATGTTATTTTCCCATCACTGCACTAAATTCTATTTGTGGTACTTTTTCGTTGATTCTCATGAGTTACAAAGGTAAACATGCTTTCATGCAATAATGATCATTACATGGTTGTTGGTGCAGATGGCCTAGAAATAGTTAAAGCTTGAAAGAAAACAAGAAGTGAGGTAATGTGAGGAGCTAGAAAAATTGTCTTTGTTCGTCATAAATCCATTAATGAATAAATAAAATAGTAACATTTTTGTTAGCATTTTAAATGGGTTTAGGGCCGGGAAGCATGGTGTTCTAGAAATCATAAGTATTTTGTGACAGGAAGTATGCCTCAGGTAGGTAATCTGAGAACACAGAATGTAACACATGTCCACATTTTCAAAGAGGAAAACTTGAGATGGTCAAGTCTGGAATCTAACAGAGTAAGATTTTTTGTTCTAAGTGACATCATGAATCAGTTATTATGTAGTGGCCTGCCCAGGAGGGGGGCTTGCAGCTGAGTCAAAAAGATCAGAAAGAGCAAGTAACTAAGTAACTGGGAAGTAAGAACAAAGAATTTTGTATTAACTCCTATCAGCAGTTCCATCTTTCTTGCTTCCGTAAACTGCTTCTTGCTTGCATGCCAAAAGTACTGGTCTGAGTGACAGACCACCCCCTCACCCTATATAAGCAATTGCTGCCCACTGATTGGGGCCCAGAATTTGGACACTGCCTCCTCTGGGTCTGCCCAAGTAAATAAAGTTCCACTCCGTACACCCTAAAGTGGCTGAGTTGTTTTCTGTAACATTTTTGTTCCCTGACCGATAATCTACTCATGTGAGCAGGCCTTTTTGCTTCCAGTGAAGGCGGTGGGGGACTGACCAAGAGAGAGTCTGGCAGCCGAAGGGAAATGCGTGCCCTGGTGATTTCAGGTCCCGGAAGCCCCGTGCTCCATGGAAGTCATCCTCCGGATTGCTCCTCGACCCGGGCAGGTGGGGTGCGGACTGGAACTATTCAGACCCGGGCAGGCAGGGTGCAGACTGGAACTATCCAGACCTGAGAAGGTGCCGATTGGTAAGTGCCCCGGGGACCAGAGCCCGAGACCAGGCCACCCCTTGCGGTGGAAGGAGAGACTGATCATCTCTTGGGCAGGCAATTGGCCGTAAGTCCTCTGGAGGCCAATTGGCCATCTGGAAGGGGAAACGTATCCCCACCTGGGCAGTCCTACTCCATGCCAGACTGTATAAACTCTCAGATGTTTGTCTGTGTGTTTGTGTGTGAGTGACTGTGTTTGTGGCTCCATGGTTGAAAAAACTATGGAGCAAGAGTGGATCCCAACCTGTGGTTCCTTGGTCTGTCATATGGCATAACGGCTAGGAGTTTAACCCGGATTCTACTGGGGCAGCCTTAGCTAAGACCCAAGCTAAGCTTGTGAGAGGGAAGGCCAGGTGGGCGAAATGAAAACCCCTTCCCTTTGTTTGTCTGCACCATTCTGAGAGGATCACCATGGGTGGGGGACCTTCCCCTGTGTTAAACTGCATGCTGCAGAACTTTGATCAGTTCCATGGCCAGCATTAGACCATGGAGGCCGGTCAGTTACAGGTCTTTTGCACCTCTGAGTGGCCAACATTTGGAGTAGGCTGGCCCCCTGAAGGAACACTGAACTTAGGTATAATTAGAGCAGTCCACCTCTTAGTAACAGTCAAGCCAGGACACCCCAATCAGTAAGTTTACATAGACCTCTGGCAGGAATTAGCACAGGACATGCTGTCATGGCTCCAGCAGTGTGCAGGTCAGAAGCCTAAGACAGTAGGAAAGGCTGGTGGTAGGTGAAAAGTGGTGCGATCCAGTGTTTTAGTCGCCCAGTCAAGAGAAACATGCCGCCACCCCTCCCCCCCCATTTTCAAAGGAGAGCCAGAGGAAGAGCCGCCTGTCAGTCTGCCTCCCCTGGAAACTCTTGGCCAGACACGGGGAAGCAAAGACCCTCATCTGTGACCTAGATTCCAGCTCCTGCTGGTCTCTGGCAGCAGAGTAGAGACCCTGTTCAAAGAGGTCAGCCTCTCTAAAATATGCCCCAGTATGACAGAGCAGTCGCCCAACCAGGCAGCAGGCAGTGACTCCCCCCTGCTGGAGGGATGGGAGGCAGCCAAAGCCCTCATGGCCCCCTGCACCTGGTCCTGCTAAATGGGTCGCCAAGGAGACAAGCAGGGCTACCCCAGCTGAGCCCCCTTGACTGAGCCAGGAGCGAGCTGTGAAGACCTCCTGGCCCGAGCTGGCTGCCCCGGCAGTGGGTCCTTTGGGAAACCAGATACCTCTTGGGAGCGGGGAGCCACCAGATTGGCTAAGAAAGGAAATAGACTTGCACACCAGAGCATGGAACGAGACCATGCGCCTACTGCAAAGCGAAGGGGTACTAGAAAAGAGCGTGCCCAAAAAGAAAAAGAAAAAGCCCACTGGCAGGTGACAAAGACCAGGGTTACAGGCACCTACAGTCCTCAGGTTAGCTGGCTTAGACCCAGACCAAACTGCCACAGGGTTTAAGAAACTCTCCCACTCTCCTCGAAGAGGCCCTGGCCAGAGATCTAAGATCATTCACCAAGAAGGAGACTGACCCAGTGTTACTGCGTGTGTAGATAACCTCCTTTCAGCTGCACCAACCCGAGATGGGTGCTGGGAGGGCCCTTGCCAGCTGTTTGAACTGCTAACCAAGACAGGGTACCAGGTGTCCTTAAAGAAGGGGCACAAATTGAAACAGAGTGGGCACAACAAGCTGGAGGACAGGAAACTGCTGAGGAGAATTGGAAGTTGTCAGACAGGAAAATATATGTCCCCCAGGGGCAAGCCAGCAATCTACTGAGGCATTGCTACAGCTTCACTCATATGGGCAAGATGTCCCTAGATAACCTGTTAAAAAGGTACTTTTACTTCCCTAACCTGGCTGTGCTCTGTGCCTCTGCGACAACGCAGTGTGTTACATGTGCCTGGAACAATGCAGCAGGGCACCCAAGGATAAAGTCAGGAATACAGCACTCAGGGAGGCAGTTGTTTGAGGACTTGCAAGTAGACTTTACTGAAGTCAAACACAGCCGAGGGTATAAGTACCTCTTAGTCTTCAGCTGCACCTTTTCTGGGTGGGTAGAAGCCTTCCCCACCAGGACTGAGAAAAGCCGAGAAGTCACCTGGGCCCTGATGAGGGAAATCATCCCAAGGTATGGATTGCTCCTGAGTATTGGGAGTGATGATGGTCTGGCTTTCATCTCAAACATAATACAGGAGGTAATAAGGCTCCTCCATATCACATAGAAATTGCACACTGCATACCAACCCTAGAGCTTGGAAAAAGTAGAGTGCATGAACCAGACTCTCAAGGAAACTCTAACAAAGTTCCACCAGGAGACTGGACTGCCTTAGACTGACTTACTGCTGCTGGCACTACTTCGAGTTAGGAATGCCCCTAACCCTTCAGGCTACACCCAATATGAGTTAGTCTTTGGGAGACCTCCAGTCCTCAGAATAGACAATGGGGGACCCCAGAGAACAGGAACTCTGGTGGTGATGCTGCCTTCTGGGGAGATGAGACCCACTATGGCTTCTCCTGCCCTGCAGGTGGGAGAAAGTCTCCACCATGGATTCGCAGCCTCTGCAAGTGGGCTCTGCTCACCCGCCGAACCAGGGGTTGGCAGGAGCTTCCTTGGCTCCTGAAAATGGAGCTGCAGGGCCCCCACCTTCACAGGCAGGCAGGACCTCTGCCCCACCTCCACTGGTGACTGCAGCCTCAGTGAACCACCCCCAATGGGTGGAGGGTGGCTTTGTGGTTCCCCCACACCCAGAGGTGGAAGGGGCCTTGGGGGTTTCCAGGGTTCCTGAAACCGGAGTCCTGGGACCTTCGCAGGTGGGTGGAACCAGAGTTGGGGTGCTGCCATTTTGGGTAAAATGGATGAGCCACATGACTGTCCCACCATGGAGGACAGAGCATTCATGGGTGCCACCATCTTGCAACTAGATAAGGCTTCTCTTCAGATTATGGGGCTGTATGCTGCTGCTGTAGGGGCACTGCAGCAGTCAGGTTCTCTGTGTAACTGGTTCTGATAGGAATAGCTCTAGTTTTGAAGGTCATGAACTGAGGTCCAAGAGTGACCATCTGATTTATAGGGTGTTTGCAATGTCTAAGCATCAGGAAGCTGCGATGTCCCTGCAAATCTAGGGAGTTTTAGTGGAAGATACCTATAGTGCTAGGGAGATTTTGGCTGCCACATACTGAGTTTAAATACTGAGTTTAAGTATAGTCCTTCCCTTGTGGGAAAAGAACCAAGAATAAAAGAGGATAATAAGTAAATCTAGATGAATATATATATATATATATAAAGGATGTAAAAGTTTTAAACCTAGAGTTTTTCTGATTTTGTGGGAAAAGAGCAAATTTCTCACAGGTGATTCTGTTTCTGATCAGAAACCTGTATTGTAAGACCTAGTGAAGGTCACTGTAGCTGGTTGGAGAGAATGCTTTTGCCACCTGGGACCCAGGAAGGGTCATTTGGGGCTGATGAGTGTATCAGCCTGAGGCAAAGCAGCATGTCTCTGCCTGGAGATCGGGCCTGAAGGAGCGTGTCTCTGAGAGTCACCAGTGGACGCATTGGTGCAAGAGAATGCCTCTACCTGTGTATTGTTTCAGAACTCTGTGTTTCGGGTTTTGCTCTGTATCTACTCTGAGAAAGGAAATTGAGGATTCCAGAAAAATTTGAAACTTCACACTCTGTAAGAAAATGAACAATAGAAAGTATAAGATTTATAAATAAAAAAGTATATGAAAAGATGTGAAAGTTTTTTAGATGTTGCTGAAGGTCTGTGGAAAGCTGTACAAATAGAATAAGGTGTGTAAAAAGTTGTAGAAGTTGTGAAAGTTTTAGAAAGTTTAAAATGTTTACATAACATTTTAGAATTATGCAAGGTTAGTAGTAGAAGGTATAAGGCATGAAGATGCAATTTTAGTGGGTATCAAAAGGAAAAGTATTTTCCATCATGCTTTGTATTTTTCTCCCTACCTGATCCCTCCAGAATCTGGCACTCTGAAGAAATGAATGATGATGTAAGGTTTCCTTGCATAAAACGAGTAAGACCAGTTATTAATAGTGGTTTTGTTAACCAGGACTTTGACTGGAATGTCACACCTGAAGGAGGCACGTATGGGTTTTGGTCGTCACCAGAAAGCCCCGAGGAACTGGGATTGACTTGCGAAGCTAGCAAAAGCCCATAAAAAAAGCCTGGTACTTTGGTTAATTGTGTGGTTTGTGCCAGTCTTTCTGGGGAAGGAATGAAGGTTGCCTTCCTGAAAGATGGCTAAAAAGGAACCTGTAGGCACAATGGAGGCTCAAGGATTTGAGTGAAATGACTGGTACAGGCTAAGCTAGTTGGCAGATGTATAGCTCTGCTTCTGTGCCCCAAGAGGCCGACTGAGAAGTCAGTCTAAGGGTTCTCTGTGTGAGTTCCAGCAAAGCGGACTTAAGGATCATAAGTGATCCAGGCTGCACTTGGTGTGTTTATGCAAATGAACAGTCAAAATCAAAAGTGGGACCCAAAGTAGTCCCTGTAATAACAATGAGGGTTATCTTAAGGAGAAAAACTGTGGTTCAAGGGAAATCACAATGCTCAGTATTGGACATCAGAATGGAGCAGCTAACTGTCTTGAAAGTTTATTTTCATTTGAAAGTTGAAACCAGGTTTGTAATATCACCAAAGACATACAATTCACAGGTGCAAAGGACCTGTCAAATTGCCACTGTTATTACTGTAGTGGCAGCAAGAAGTTATTACAGCAAGAAGGACCTAGCAATAGAATGTCTTCCCAAAAGAGTCTCACAGGTGCAGAGACTAGTTTAGAGATTGTTGTGTGAATTAACCTGTATGTTCTTCTGTTTTCATAGGGTGTATGCCTATGAAAACTGGCATGCTACATTAAAATACCTATATTTTAACCAATCACTGCCTATGCCTATGAGTGATTGGTTAAAATATAGGCCTCACTTAAGAAGCTCATCTTTGTCATCACCCCCCTGAGACTCAAAAAGTTTGATTGAACTAAGTAATTAGGTTGATAAAGGGCTTGGGCAGTCCGTGGGCTTCACTTTAGAACTGATTTTCACTTTTCTGTCTTGATGGCTTGGACAGAAAGGGCTCAGAAATCTAAAAGGAGAGAAATCCTCATATATTCCCCTTGGCCCGAGTGAAGTATAGTGGGCCACAAGAGTTTGAAATAGGTGTAGCATGCCTTGTACACCTTCCACTAGATAAGCCAATCTTTACTTTAGACCTTGCCTGTGTCATTTAATAGTTATGATTTAATTGTGCTTCCAATTTCTTGCCTAATTTGTCACCTTCAGAATACAACCAGGATGCCAATGGTCCAGTCATGCCAGCCTTTGGACACCAAGTCTGCAACTTCCTGGTGACAGCCAACTGACCAGGACCCTGTAAAGTCCTTCTCCTTGTAGGAAGGACTCCCTCTGTGCTGCACCCACCCTCCTCTTTCAGGGTACCCCTGACCCAATGGTAGGTAGGACGAAATCCTCATCCAGCTGGAAGTAGTTACAAGAAGATGAGACCTTCGTCCATTGTCCTTTATATAATTCCAGAAGGAGAAAGGGGCCTCAGAACTCCTCCCTGATAGTAAATCATAGGAAGAGAAAAATAATAAAGAAAGAAACCTCATTAATGCACTGAATCCAGGGAAAGAGAGGGCCTGTGCGTTCCTAGGAGAGGAGTGTTGCTCCTATGTAAATCAGTCAGGGATTATAGCAAAGAAAGTTAGGGAAATCAGAGAGAATATAAACCACCACACCAAAGAAACAGAAAGTTAAAATTAGAGAAATTGAGGAATAAATCCTCAAGGCTGGCTCCAGTGGCTACTTCCCTTTCTAAGACCCCTAATTATTATCTTCTTAGGTTTAAGCTTCAGCCCCTGTATCCTGTGGATCATAGTCCAGAACTTAAGAAGCAACAGTTACCCACAGGGCAACCACCAAGATCTTGTCCCTCCAGCGATACTATTATCATAAATTACAACAGCCCCATGATGCACAAGAATAACCATAAAATTATGCTAGAGCAGTCAACAGCACTGTTGACCATAAAAAGTGGGGAATGTAGTGGCCTGCCTAGGAGGGGAGCTTGCAGCTGATTTCAACAAGATCAGGAAGAGCAAGTAACTAAGTACCTGGGAAGTAAGAACAAAGAATTTTGTATTAACTCCTATCAGCAGTTCCATCTTTCTTGCTTCCGTAAACTGCTTCTTGCTTGCATGCCAAAAGTACTGGTCTGAGTGACAGACCACCCCCTCACCCTATATAAGCAACTGCCACCCACTGATTGGGGCCCAGAATTTGGAGACTGCCTCCTCTGGGTACGGGTACATAAATAAAGTTCCACTCCATACACCTGAAAGCGGCTGAGTTGTTTTCTGTAACAATTAAAGTGATGTATGAGCAATGGAAAGAGGCAGGGATCCTCAGATGACTACTCAGTTTAATCAGTGTGTTATGGTCTCCTAAGTGGACTGATCTTCCTTTGCCTTCTGACCTTATTGCCTAGGAAACTTCTCCCCAATGTTGGCAAGATGGGTGGCATTTTTTGTTCTTGAAGTTTTATCTTCCATGCTTCTTGATCCAAGAAAGGCATCTTTTGAGATCTAGGATGCAAATGGATATACTTTTCATACAGAGCAGGGTTTTTATTCTCAGCAGTATGGACCTTTTTGGCCATATAATTCATTCTTCTGGGAGATTGTCCTCTGCATTGTAAGTGCTTATTATCATCCAATACCTCTATTCACTGTCATCACCCTCACTTCCTTTCCCCTCAGGACAATCTAAAATGGCTTAGCAAATTACCTAAAGTCCCCTTGGGGGCAAAAATAACCTTTGCTTGAGAAACAGTTTGAAGCTTTTATCATTTTTGAAACCAGAAAGATCTTGGTCTGGTGTGCAGTATTTTTATTATTTTGCTATGTAAATTATGTTCCACTCTGACTGTGATTTATTTTGGGAAGGTATTTAGAACTGTATATTAAAACATCTAAATATAGGGACTTTGTAGTTATCTTGTGATTAGTTTTCAGATTAATAGCAAAGAGAGCAATAAACATAGTTCGTGAGACATTTGTTGAAACCTGCTCTATAGCTAAATGTAGTCATTTCTTAAAAAGTTCCTAGTGTGCTTGAAAAACATTTTAAATATACTTTGTTGCTGCTTACTTAAACAATAACAACACATTTATTCAAAATTCCATTCTAAGAGTTAAAAAGAACTGCTATCATGCTGCATATACACTTGCAGATATGTCGACATGCACATTTCTTTCTACTTTCTCTGCATTTCATTTACTATTTTAGATTATAAGTATGGGCACAAAAGTTGTATATTTTTAGCTTTTATTTTATTCTTTTAAAAATTTATATAATTATTGTTCAAGTACAGTTTTCTGTCTTATGCTCCCATCCCATCCCACCCCCCACCAGTGCTCCCCACCTCCCTCCCATTTCCCCCCCTGCCTTAGTTTTTGTCCATGTGTCCTTTATACTTGTTCCTATGAATCCTTCCCCTTTTCCCCTGAAATTCTCTCCCCTCTCCCCCATGGTCCCTGTCAGCCTGTTCTCTATTTCAGTGTCTTTGGTCATATTTTGCTTGCTTGTTTGTTTTGTTGTTTAGGTTCCTGTTAAAGGTGAGATCATATGGTATTTGTCTTTCAGTGCCTGGCTTATTTCACTGAGCATAATGCTTTCCAGTTCCATCCATGCTGTTGCAAAGGGTAGGAGCTCTTCTTTCTTTCTGCTGCATAGAATTCCATTATGTAAATGTACCATAGTTTTATGATCCATTCATTTACTGATGGGCACCTAGGTTGCTTTCATCCCTTGGCTAGTGTAAATTGTGCTACTATGAACATTGGTGTGCAGAGGTTCTTTTGGACTGGTGTTTCAGGGTTCTTAGGATATACTCCTAACAGTGGAATTGCTGGGTCAAAAGGAATGTTCATTTTTAGTTTTCTTAGAAAATTCCATACTGTGTTTCATAGTGGTTGTACCAGTCTGCAATCCCACCAACAGTGAACTAGGGTCCCATTTTCCCCACAACCTCTCCAACATTTGTTGTTTGTTGCTTTGTTTATGATGGCCATTCCAACCGGTGTAAAGTGGTATTTCATTGTGGTTTTAATTTTCATCTCTCTGATAGCTAGCAATACTGAACATCTTTTCATGTGTCTCTGTATCCTCTCTATGTCCTCCTTGGAGAACTGTCTGTTCAAGTCCTTTGCCCATTTTTTAATTGGGTTGCTTGTCTTCTAAGAGTGGAGTCATGTAAGTTCTTTGTATATTTTGGAGATTAAACCTTTGTCTGAGGTATCATTGGCAAATATGTTTTCCCAAACAGTTGGCTCTTTTTTTTTATCTTAACAATGTTTTTTTTAGCCCTGCAGATGCTTTTTTTTTTTTGGATGAGATCCCATTTGTTTATTCTTTCCTTTATATGCCTTGCTCTAGGGGACATATCAGTAAAAATGTTGCTGCATGAAATATCTGAGATTTTCCTGCCAGTGTTCTCCTCTAGGATTTTAATGGTGTCACAGCTTATAGTTAAGTCTTTTATCCACCTTGAATTTATTTGGGTGTATGGTATAAATTGGTGCTTGAGTTTTAATTTTTTGCACATAGCTGTCTAGTTCCCTTAACACCATTTGTTGAAGAAGCTATTTTTAGTCCATTTTATGTTGCTGTCCTTTTTATAAAATATTAATTGCCCATAGAGGCTTGGGTTTATTTGGGGGCTCTTTGTTCTCTTCCACTAGTCTATGTGCCTGTTTTGATGCCAGTACCAGGCTGTTTTGATTACAGTGGCCTTGTAATCCAGGTTGGTATCAGGTATTGTGATCCCTCCTACTTTGTTCTCCTTTCTCAAAATTGCAGCTGCTGTTTGGGGTCTTTTATGGCTCCATATAAATATTTTGAAGTGTTTGTTCTATGTCTGCAAAATATGCCATTGGTACTTTAATAGGTATTGCATTGAATCTCTAAAATACATTGAGTAGTATGAACATTTTGATGATGTTAATACTTCCAATCCATGAACCTGGTACATGTTTCCATTTGTTTTTGTCTTCCTTGATTTCTTTCTTCAGCGTTGTGTAGTTCTATGTATATAGGTCTTTTACCTCCTTGGTTAGGTTTATTCCCAGATATTTTATTTTATTTTTTTGCTTTATTGAATGGGGTTTTTTTCTTTATTTCAGCTTGTGCTGTTTCATTGTTAGTATACAAAAATGCATTTGATTTCTAGATATTGACTTTGTGTCTCGCTGTTTTGCCAAATTCATTTATTACATCGAGCAGTTTTTGGGCAGAGTTTATAAGATTTTCCATGAACACTAACATGTCATCTACAAACAATGACAGTTTTGTTTCTTCCTTTCCAATTTGGTTGCCTTTTATTTCCTTTTCTTGTCTGATCAGTGTGGTTAAAACTTCCAATACTATATTGATAGAAATGGTGAAAGTGGACAACCTTGTCTTGTTACTGATCCTAGTGGAAAGGATTTTAGTTTTTGCCCATTGAGAATGATGTTGGCTGTAGGTCCCTCATATATGGCCTTTAATAAATTTATGAATGCTCCTCTATTCCCACTTTGCTGAGTGTTTTTATCATGAATGGGTGTTGTACCTTATCAAATGCTTTTTCTTCATCTATTGATATGATCATGTGATTTTTGTCTTTGCTTTTGTTTATGTGATGTATTACATTTACTGATTTGTGAATATTGAACCATCCTTGCATCCCTGGGATGAATCCCACTTGGTCATGGAGTATGATCTCTTTAATGTATTGTTGAATGCCATTCATCAATATTTTGCTGAGAATTTTAGCGTGTATGTTCATCAGTGATATTGGCCTGAAGTTTTCTTTCTTTGTTGTGTCTTTTTTTTTCTTCTTTTTTTTTATTTGGTTACTTTTCAAGTACACATTTTTTTTTCTCTTCCCCCCCCGCCCGGTCTCCCCCCTCCCTCCCGTTCCCCCCCCAGTCCTCATCTCTGTGTCATTCATACTTGTTCCTCAAAATCCCTCCCCCTTTTTCCCCTTAAGTTCCCTTCCCTCTTTGTTGTGTCTTTATCTGGTTTTGGAATTAGGATGATGCTGGTTTCATAAAAAGAGTTTTGAAATATTCCATCATTTTGGATATTTTGGAATACTCTGTGAAGATTAGGGGTTAGGTCTTCCTTAAATGCTTTGTAGAATTCTCCTGTGAAACCATCTGGTCCAGGGCTTTTGTGTGATGGGAGTTTTTTGATTACTGCTTCAATTTCATCTGCTGTTATTGGGTCTGTTCAGGCTTTCTGCTTCTTCTTCATTGAGTTTTGGAACATTATATTTTTCTAGAAATGTGTCCATTTCCCCTAGGTTATCAAATTTCTTGGCATACAGTTCTT